GTAGAGTATAATGGGAGACAAGTAAAAGAAAGAGCTTGGAAATCAACTCTTCTGGACTACCACTCCCTTTGCAAATAAAGTAATTGTAGAGTTTGGTGAAGGGCTTCACAATATGAACCAGCACTCGCTTGTGTTTTAATTCAGGAGACTCCACTTGAACTCACTGGCAGAGAATGTCAAGGTCCTCACCAAGCTACAGTTTTGATTATTCCAGAGGATGGAGCACTGACAGTAAAGTGCTATTAAATTGCTGTAACTCTACATAGTAGACACACTCTTAATTACAGCTGATAATAGATGGTTGATACCATTCATAGCTGATGTTGACAATCTCCTATTGGATTAATATGGCTGATTCCTAAGATCCTGTTTTCCCTTTGTCACCAAACTCAGGCCTTCCAGAAATGTAGCTGCTGCTGGTGCCAGCCATCTGTTCATTAAGGAGCTGCCCAGATCCTGCAGCATTCATGGACAGAAAGATCTTTAAATTGCAATCTACTGCTTCCATGATATCATTAGACCATGTGGTTCAAAATAAAGCATGAGAAACTAAACATTTCTGAGTTGCATGCAGAAGATTTATTATGTGATGCACATATGAGAAATGGCATGCAATTTAGATATTTCAGAGAGAGAGAGAGGAGGAGGAGGAGAATGAAATTGGGATGAAGGAAGGGAGAGACCTGCGTTCAGTATGTCTGTAGTGAGTTATGGAGAAGAAGAAAAAACATCCATTTTGTTTTGGACAACAACATTTTTGATGTCAGGCTTGATTCTAACAGCAATGCCAATTTTCTCTGTAGTTTTAAGCCCTAGGAAACACTGATTACAGCTCTTGGGGCTTAACTGAAAGAGTGACATGCTCAGATGTTGTGGCTACATTGCCCGAAAGATTGCAACAATTTCCATTGTTTGGGAAGTTCTTTAGCAAGTCTGAAATGCATCAGAAAGAAATGGAACATTCTTGACATCCTACTTCATCCAAGTGTAAATGAAACTGTTGCCACTTCCCAGTGAGAAATAAGAAAACTCAAGGACATTCTTATGTACCGGTTGTGAAAACGAATTACCAACAGAACTTACAAGAGCTTTCTCCATCACTGTGACAGGACAATTATTCCCACCTTTGAGAAAAGGACCATCAGAGAAGCAGACCTTTTAAGATAACTGGAATTCCTGAAATTCAGTGTGGGGGGTTTAATACATTGTCATAAAGCCACAGATTTGTGCTTTCATATTGATTACATTCACTTGTTACACTTTCAGAAACACAATTAAATAACCTTAGATGTATACCTGACATGCGTAATGTCAGAAGTGGTATTTGATTTGTGATCTGTTATTCTCGGGTGTCTGTAACAAATGCTCCACAGATTTGTGCTTTCATATTGATTACAAGTGGTATTTGATTTGTGATCTGTTATCCTCGGGTGTCTGTAACAAATGCCGCCTAATTTGCACACAGCCTAATATCTTCGCTGTAACAATCTCAGAAAGAGGCATGATGGTGCATTCACTTACCAGTACATCATGGAACCTGGTCTGTCAAAAGAGACATCTAACTCTGGAGCAGATATGGGACAGATGTGGAGTCCTGGCAAGTATACAATGAATCTTCAGGGCAAATCATCTTGGTAGCAGCTCAATAAATGCAGCAAATCCATCCGTTTTCCCCTAAAAAGGAATTCTGCTGTTCCTCACAGAGGAGGGATGTGGGTGCTACTTAGCAATTCCTATCTCTCATTGGTTCTACTGATACCCAACACCAAACAGTTCTTCAAATGCAGGGTCTCCCCGTATTAGTGATTATTGGTGGTTTCAGAGCTGAGCACTCTGTCAAGAGGTTGGAGCAGTGCTCCTTTTCCAGAACTGCTGACAGATCTCTAATGTCCTGTGACTTGTGTCTGTATCAGTGCGTCAGACCAATGATTAGTCCATCAGCCAGGGGTACCTCATTACAAGTCATGTTCCTATGACAGGAGAACCAAAAATATCTGTGGCATTTGTGGTAAGGATGAATCCACACTAAATGAGTCCTGCTTTCCCAAAAGAACTTCTGGTGTGGTGCACATGATGAATCAGTGTCTTCTGATGAAATGCTGTGTGCACAGTTTGAGGGAAACAGATTACCAAATAAGTAGTTCTGTTAATCTGTCTCATCTTGTTGGTAAAATAAAGTGGGGAAGAAAATAAGGACAAAATGATGTGGCACTTTAAAGACTAACAGATTTTGTGAGCTTCTGTGGATCACAATCCACTTTTCCATACACTTCTTCAGAAGACTAGTCAGCAGCTTTATTTTCAACACAATAAGTGGTTTATATCTGAAAGAGATAGGTTGTACCTGCATTTGGCATGAGGATAACGCTTTGGTTGACTCCACAACTGGAGAAGCTGCTCACATTTGTTGGTCATTTTTGTTTCTACTACATGATTTGTTGGCATACTTTTGCTACCTCTACTTTTGCAACATTATAGAATTACAGTGACATTGCTGAGATGTTCAGAAAAATGCAATAAACCTCCATCAATGCCCTGTATTTGTTTCTCTTTTTGTCTTATGTTTGAATTCACCTCACATATTTTGCGAGGACTCCATTTTACTGCCATTTGTTTGCATGCAATGAATTCAATCTTTTTCTCTCTTGTTATGTTATCTTTTATGATGCCGTGAAAGTACGGTTTGTCTCCCCAGATCTCTCTAGTTTTATATTAACCAGTTGTCAGTGCTTACGTGCTCTGTGACAATGTAGAGTTACAGATGTTCCTGATACCAGTATTTTATTATGTTTGGCATGGGAAGAATACCTTGTCCCTTCTTTATTATGCCATGGTTGACTTGGCTTCTATATTACTTTATTCCCTCTTTTGCCCCCAACAGCCAAAGAAACATTTGTTTTGGATTTTAATATGGTGTATCTGCTTTTTCTTTGTTCATGTCAGAAGCAATACAAGAGTGTTTGTGGAGTGAAAAGATTAGTGACAAGGGTGCTGTCACTGCACAGGGAACACCCAAATGTGTTAGCAGTCCTCAAACTCTTCAGGGAGGCTTCTTATGTGTTCCCCTATGGGGTACCAAAATCATGTTATTGACATGAATCATAGAATTGTTGATCTAGAAAGAATCTCTAGTGTCTTCAAGCAGGAAATTGACAGCTGAAGCATCCTTGACTAACAGACGTCTAGACTCCGCCATAAAAAGATCCAGTGAAGAAGATTCAACCATTTTCTGAGACATCTATTGCGCTGATGAAAAGCTGCTGCTATATGGAAGATTTTCCTATTGCTTAATCAAAAACGTTCCCCTCATAATATGAATCTATTAGTTTAGGTCCTACCATCCAGAATAGCAGAAAAGAAGTATGCCCCTCAAGTATCTGAAAACTGCTATTATCTTACCCCTCAGGCTTTGCTACAGGCTAAACATACTACACTCTATCTACTATTGTCCGTAGGACTTGGTTTGTAGACTCTTTATCATCCTTGTTGCTCTTCTATGGATACATTCCATCTTGTTGATATAGTTCTTAAACCATCATGCCCAAAACACAGCACAGCATTCCAGGTGAGTTCTGACCAAAGCAGAATAGAGAGGTATTATTACTTCCCTTGATCTAGACATTATGCTTTTATTAATACAGCCTAGAATCGCTTTAGGTTTTCATTTTTTTTCTGCTGCAGTATCAGACAGATGGTTTATGTCTAGTGAGACCTGATTATAGATGGGGACAAACATAAAAATGGATCAGTTTTTCTGATGAATATAGCTGATTCGTCATATATTCGTTGATCCGTATTTGTAAAATTTTAAATCAGGATGAATATGGCTTGATGAATATTTCCTCAATCTGTTCATATTCATCTATATTCGTTACCCCTTTTGGGGGCCTCTTTGAGCTTGCTGGCGCCAATTTGAAGCTCTGGCCAATCAGGACAGAGATCCTGGATTGGCATGTGTGGCAGCCAATAGAGCTGCTGAAAGGTGTATCTGCTTTTACAAATGCTTCATATAAGCTTTTCCCATCCAGCTGTTCCCCACTTCTGTTCATGCTCTCTGGAGTGAGAACAGTTGCTGCTCGCTGGCTTGCTGGTGCTCTTGCGGTTTCGCTTTTGCGGTAGCAAAGCAAAGACTATTATTCTTGTTCATCATCAATCATCATCAAATTTACTGGGAATTTGGGGAGGGATTTCATGTAGTTTAGGATACTTCTTCAGAAGGGGTTAAGTTTATTTTAAATTCAAATCAATCAAACCTTTTTTTTCCTCTGGAGGCTTGTGTGTGTGTGTGTATCACCTGGTGTGTGTGTAATCAATCAAACCTTTTTTTTCCTCTGGAGACTTGTGTGTGTGTGTTTGTGGGTGTGTATCACCTGGTTAGTGTGTGTGTGGAACTGTCGTCGTGTGACAGTGGGATCTCTTTTCCTTTATATTCAGTTTTCAAAAGTTCATTTTAGAGATGCATCTGTCTCTCAGGGAATTTGGTGGGTGCTTGGATCCATCATTCCTTTTTCTTCCAAAAAATGTGTGTGTGTGTGTGTGTGTGTGAGAGAGAGAGAGAGAGAGAGAGAGAGAGAGAGAGAGAGAGAGAGAGAGAGAGAGAGAGAGAGAGAGAGAGAGAGAGAGAGAGAGAGAGAGAGAGAGAGAGAGAGACTGAGACTTAGGTGGCAGGGCTTTTCTTTTGGGACTTTTTGGGCTTCTCTGCCACAGTGGGTCGGGGGGGGGATTTTCCTAATTACATTATACTGAGGGGCAGCTTTGTTTAGGCAGGCAGGTCACATTTCAGTAAAAGAATTACACCGCCATCATTCTAATAAAATTTATACACACTCTCTTGACCCTCTATTAGTTCCTCAATCTCCATTGCTTTATTTGTTTAGTTGGTTTGTTAGGCAGGCAGTAGAAAATGAAGGGATTTCTTCAGGGGCAATCCAAGGGGAAGAAGGCTGTGAAGCTATGCAGGCTAGGTAGCAGCACCCACCACGTCTACGATAACCAGTGCCACAGTCCCTCCTCTGGTGGCCTTGCAGGCAGGCATGGAACCAAAGCTTCCAGAGGTGCCAATCCTCTTCCTAGAGGAATCTGAGGAGTTACTGGTTTCCGAAGATCCCCAGTCCGATTTGGAACCAGTAAGGGCAGGGCAGGCTTCACAGCCCCCATCCCATCCCTGTCCCCAGAGTCATCTGTTCCCTCCTCCCAGACCAGCAGCACCCCTGGGATGCAGAGTTCTTCCCAGGCCAGCAGTCAGGGGCAGGCAGTGGATCCTCATTTGGGCAAACATGGCAGAGGGGCCATGTGGGGTCATTTTATGGTGCTCAGTGATGACCCACGGCTGGCATATTGCAATACCTGCCTTAGGGTGGCCCGGAGGGGGTCAGATCCCAGGTATCTGTCCTCCACTGTCCTCCACCAACATCTGGAGAGGCACCACCCAAAGCTTCTGTCCAGGGAAGGCACTTCGTCTGCGCTATCTGGGAAAGGGAAAAGAGCAGCTCCAGGGGAGGCAGAAGAGAGGCAGGAGGAGGCGTTTCCTTTCAAAAGGGCAGCCACAGGGGTTTCTGGGGCCAGGAGCATGAGGCAGGCCACACTCCATGAAGTGGCACCCATTGGGTCCACCATGACCCTCAGCTGGCGGTTGAAGGGTAAGGCCCAGCAAGTGGCCACTCACCTCGTTGCAGAGACAATCGCCCTGCTCGGACTTCCACTGTCCATTGTGGAATCCCAAACCTTCTGCCAGTCACTGCATTTTTTTGCCCCCTGGTACGACCTCCCCTCACGGAGAACTCTCAGTTCTAGAGTGCTGCCCTTGCTCTATGAGTCTGTGAGGGAGGTGGTCCATGACCATTTTTCACAGCTACATGGGCACAAGGTGCACTTCACAGTGGACCCGTGTAGTGGAGGTCAGCACGGCTACCTCTCACTCACAGCCCACTGGTGGCAGCCAGACGACTCGAGTGGTGGCAGGTCATCGGCGACAGGGCCGCAGGGAAAGGCCCTTGACCTGTCCCCAGGCTACAGGTCTGTTCTGCTGCAGGCGCAGCACATGGAAGCTCAGGCAATGGGGAGGAACATCGTCGATGAGTTCCTGTCTGTGCTGCAGGAGTGGACACCAGAGGGGGAGGTGACCTGGGGTCACATGGTCACA